CACCAGCACAAATTAGGAGTTTGCTTGTAGCAGACATCATAGGTAGATCTAGGGAAAGGGCTTAGCCCTGTTTTGGTTGTTGAATTTCCGATGTACCTAAAAAAGGAAGGGCAAAGTAGAAAATAAGAACACAACCTGAAGGGTAAAATAGGGAGGGAAAAAAAAAGACTAGCCTTATGGAGCAAAGCAATTCTTATATATATAGATATATCTTTGGTGAAATTTTTTCATATTTTAATTATTTTTTAAAACTTTTTTAATGGGCCTAATCTGGATGCATTTAAAAATTAAAATATTTGTATAGATTTTTTTAAAATTACTAAATACAAAAAATATAAAAATATTCTGTTTTTGTTTTTGTTTTTGTTTTTGTTTTTGTATTTTTTCATATTTTATGATTTTTTTTATAGATGTTATCACAAATATTTTATTTTTAAGTGCATTTAGATTAAATAAATCTAAAAAATAATTAAAATATAAAAAAAAATTAGTAAAGATAAAAAAAAATTACGAAAAATAAAGATTTAAATAACATTTTGAAACAAAATTGCCATCTCTAAATGTTTATTAGGGACTGAACACCATATGCTACTAACAGTTTACCTTACAATTGTAGGTGCAAATATTACCCACACCATTTCTAGGTGTAAATAGGAATTTTAAAATAAAAATTAAAAAAAAAAAGTGAGAAAAAAATGTAATATTTGAGGGGGCTCATCATATGAGAAAGTATTTTTATTATATTTTCACGAATTGCTCAGAGGTTTGGATTGGGTAAAATGTTACATAATGTTACATGGTGCTAACATGGTCTTTTTCTTTACAAATTGTGGTGATTGGGTTAAATTGGAAATAATCAAATAATTTTATAATTAAATTTAGCAATTAAAAAAATAAGAAAAATAGCTAATAGTTTAGGGAAAAAAATTATACGAAACAATGGTTTGTTTGGTAGCACTTATGAAATTAACTTATTTAGCTTATTTGATTTTTAAAAAGTTGACTAATGGTATTTGGTTGTAATTTTAGATCACAGTTTATTTGAATTTTTTTATAGTTTATTTAGCTAAGAAAATGATATTTGATTTTTTCAGCTTAAACTTATTTAAAACTCTTAAATATCTATAAATAGAACAGTCACATCTCTTTTATTTTAGGGGGATGCACTAATAAATCCCAAATTAATAACTTATGCACTGTTTAGTCCTAAAAGTTTTCTTATAGACTGAAAGGTCTCATTACAATGTTAATAACATCAGATACAATGTTAATAACATCAGAGTCATGTTACAAACATTGGATTTTAAACATCTAATGTTCATCAAATTTCAATAATGTTTGAAAATATAAGATGAAAAACATCTAATGTTCATCAGATTTCAATAAATTTTGAAATTATAGAATGAAACATCAGATCATTTACATCATTCACATCATGTTGATGTAAAAAAGGGACTAAATGGAGCATAAGAAAACTTTTAGAACTAAATGGTTTAACGTTTCAAAAACTAGGACTTATGGGTAAATTTTCCTTTATTTTAATTATAATGTGACAATTTATTTAACTAAATAATTATTATTTTTTTTTTTTACAGATTATGAAAATTTATACCAAATAGATATATGATTTATTTTAAACATATTAAACTAATAATTTATAATTATAAATATTAAATTACAACTGATACCAACCAAGCCAACATCAAAAAAGTCCACACTTTTTTTGTTTGTGTCTTTTTATTTTTGTTTTTGGGGTCACCTCATAAATAATATGATTGTGAGAGGTATATATACATGATGGAAGGCACTACCACCGATCCAAGGGGTTCAGAGAATAATTATGCCGACTTAGGAGGATGTCTTTGGGAGCACCAAGCAAGCCCCAACTCATTCACAATTAGCCTTACACTATGGAAATTTAGGAGGGAGAAAAAAAATGATTAGTAGATAAGTTATAAGGGTAAAGTAATAATATTGTTATATCTATCGAATTTGAGTTCATTTGAATTGTTTAAATTTGTATATGTTGATCGTTCAATTGACTGGTTATCTGAGTGGTTGTCTAGTTAGTTATCTAGGTAGGTGCCGATTGACATACCGGTAAATAAAGATGCCAACTGCAATTGACAAATATAATGCTGGTCGTTCGGCTTATTCATGTAATTCGGGCGAGCTCAAATTCAATGGATAAATCATTTTAAGAGAAAAAAATAATGATTTGTTTTCATTTTATTTGGATAAATAGAAGAGAAAGGGAAAAAATGATATTAATTTCTCTCATATATTGTTTAGTTAAGGTATAAAAAAGAAATGAAATGAAATAATATAATGTTATATTACCAAATTAACTTTTTATAAGTGTTTATTTGGAAACAGACTATTTTAGTAATTTTTTGACTTTTTTGCTAAAATATGAGATAAAAAGAACTAATATGTTTGAAATAATTTTTTGATTTTTTACGAAAAGATGTGTAAAAAGTAGAGAGAAAATGAATATTTGACCTTTTGGTATAAGTTATAAGTTTTTTGATTTTTTAATAATTTTTTAACCTTTTGACTAAAACACTTGCATGCCAAACAAGATAGTCATTTTATTTGTCCTATATCTAAAAGTTTAATTTTTGTATTGTAACATAATAATATTTGGTTGGTTTAATTTCTTTTTCAATCTCTCCACTCTTTGAGAGATTGAAAATATAGGTTACGAGATAAATGTATTTCTCTCTATTTCTCCCGTACCTATTTAGGAACTGTAGGTTGTGTTTGGTTACATTTTCAAATCAATTTTTGCAATGAAAAATCCAAATCAATTGTTTGGTATACAATTTTTGACAAAATTTATTTTCTCGCTCATCTCTTCTTTTCTTTTCATTTTTTCTTTTTTTTCTTCTTTTTCACATATCAATGAATCATTTTTTATCCCGTATCTCTCATTCTCTCATGTTTAACACATCAATTAATCAATTTTTTTCTCACACTTATCTATTCAACTATAAAAAATAAAAAAATAAAAAAAATTACAAATCATTTTAAAACTATTTTCAAAATATACAGTGAGACAAGTTTTTAAATTTTACAAACTCTTTTTAAAAAATTATCTTCCAAAATTGATTTTCAAAACTAAACCAAACAAAGCCTTAATTTTAGTTAAAAAAATCATGGGTAAATTACACTAACACCTCCTAAGGTTTCTGCTTAAAATGACATATTTGCCCCTTAGCCTTTCTACATATAAAATAATAAAATAATACTAATACTTTGTTCATGCCATTTCAAAAGAAATAGCAATTGTCTTCTTTGGTTTAACTCACACAAAAAATTCAATTTCTTTATTTTTTTATTTTACTGATTTTTTTTTAATATTTTAAGCAAATTTTTTTTTTTTTAGATACACCTAATCTAGATATACTCAAAAAGTATAATAATTTGTAATTTTTTTAAATTCACTAAATATAAAAAAATACAAAAATTGAGTAATACTGTAATAAATGTGAATGACGGTGTTTGATAATACTGTAATAAATGTTGATAAATAGATGATAAAGAAAAATAATAGTGGAAATAAAAATGAAAATTTCTATTCATATATAAAAATTTATACAAAAAATATCATAAAAATATTGTGATAGTGATATTGTTGTAAATATAAATCATATTTATAGATGTTTTATTTTAAAGTGAAAAGTCATCATTAAGTTATATCATTGTGGTTGAAAATTTTATATAAAATTTGTATTTATATATCATCACTCAACAAGAATATGTTCAGGTAAAATTTAATAATAAAAAATTGTAAAACGTAGTCATAATGATAGAGAGAAAAAATGGTAAGAAAAACTGGCAAAATGATCATTTAGAAAATTTTAAGGCATGACATTAGATACGACCCCATTACGTAGCTCGAAAACACAGAGCTCGAATGGCCCGAATTTTTTTTTTAATTCTTTTTTCTTCTCTTTCCTTCCCTCTCTTTTTCATTCTCCTTCCTTTTTCAGTTCTTTGAAATCTAGTGTTTGGGTTTGTTGAAAAAGCCACACAGCCGTCTCTCTCTCTCTCTCTCTCCCTCTCTCTCTCCCTCCTCAAACCCAAGAAAGAAGAAGAAGAGATCAAAAAAATAATGGTTCAGCCAAAGATCCATAGCCAAAATCAGCACACAAAAAATCAGCACAATTTGCAAAATCAAAATATAAAAAAAAAATCAAAATCAGCACAGTTTGCAAAATAATCCAAAAAATCACCAATAAATAAATAAATAAATAAATAATCAAAACAACCACAACCGAAGATATCAAAATTAAAATCAAAACAGTTGAGCCGAAGATCCACAGCCAAAGATCAAGCTTCGGCCTCTCCACCCATGGCAGTGGGTTGGGTCTCCGTCCATGGCGGATCAAGCTTCAACCTCTTTGTCCATGAAGATCAAGCTTCGGCTTCTCTTCTCTTCCTCATTCTCTCTTTCTCTCGCCTATCTGTTTCTCTCTCGCCTTTCTCTTCCTCTGTTCCTCGTTCTCTCTTTCTCTCGCCTCTTTGTTTCTCTTCCGCCTCTCTTTTTCTGTCAAACCAGTTCAAGGAAGAAAGAAGGGAAAAAAGAAGGGGAAAAAAAAAAAGAAAGTGCCAAAACGACGTCATTTTGACACACAGGGCATTCGAGCCGCTCAACTTTCGAGCTACCACGCATTTCTCCATCAGATATCCAGGGGCAATTTGTAATACGTCAGAGATGGGAATGTATTTTTCAAAAATAAGAGAGAATTTGTATTAAATAGAAATCTCATAAAGTGTCAGTGTAAGTTACTCAAAAATCATTATAAATTATCACATTATTATCTTTATTTATCTAAGTACCTTTTACAAAAATTAAAATATTAAAAAATCAATTAAAATAACGTAATTTTCAAAATTTTAAAAAAAAAAAAAAAAAAAAGAATAATAATTATCAATATAAAAGTAGAAGAGATAGAGAGAGAAAATCAAACACTGCGATTTATAGTGGTTCGGCAGTAATAAATTAAAGCTGACCCCCTGGGGCTATATACCCAATGAAATCTTCTCTATCTCCACTTTCTCTCTCTAAGCTTGGCAAGTGCGTGGTTGGAAGGTCTGGCCTGGAATCTTCTCCTCGCATCTAACCTGATACATAGATATGTATATTTAATTAATCAGTAAATCAAAATAATAATAAATACTTTCATATTTTTTGTTTTTTGTTTTTGTTTTTGTTTTTGTTTTTGGTTGATTTTTATGAATTAACTAGTCATATTTATTGAATGGGTAAAACGAAAATCAACCCCATTTCAGCGGCATCAGAAGAAGCTGGAATCATGATCATTTAGACAGATCCCTTCTTCCCAATTTCTTCATCTGTAAGTTTCTTTTCGGTCCCATTTTGTCTTCAATTTGAAGCTTTCATATAGATCTATGCTTTTCTTTTTTATCTTTTCTTTTTCTTTTTCTTTTTAATTTTTATTTGACAATTGTTCGTGTGTAATTTTGATCGATTGCGAATGGAGTTAATCTGAGTATTTTGATTATTATTTGCACTAAGTTAGCTGATAGTTTTGAATTAGAAAGGTCCCAAATTGGGGATGGAATATATATATATGCAATCAGTTGTGTTGTGTTGGAATGGGCCAAAACAAACAAGATCTTCTACACCAGCCTCACAAATCACACTCCGTCCCTCTCCTAAAAAACCCATCCCCTCTCTCTTTAAAAAAAAAAAAAAAAGAGGTAAAAAAAAAAAGGCTCATAATATTTGATGGTTGGTTGGTAGGTACTAGGTAGTGGTAGTCAATTGCAGGGGAGAGGGATTTCACTGTGGGTGTGGCGGAAAATGCAGGGGGTTGAAAGGGAGAGATTTTTCTGTGGGGATGGTGAGATGTAAAGAAGGGGCAGTCGCGAGGGGAATGTGGATGATAGAGGGCTTAGGTTGTTGTTAGGATGGCAGGATGGTAGACAAGGAGGAGGGAGAAGGGACCAGGAGGAGAGGGAAGGAGGTCACGTGGCTAGTTGTGGTGGGGCTAGGGGAAGGGGAAGGTCGTGTCTTTCATGTGATTAATTTCTATCAAAAAATATAACATGTGTTATCGATTGTACTAATTAGAGACAAAATCCAAATTGAAGGATCAAAATTGCTACAATTGAAATGGCGAGTTGCCAAAGATCAAAATCTTTTGTACATTATTCACTTGTTCTACAATTTAAACAAAATAATATACATCTATATTATTAGATTATCACTATTTCCAATTTCCAAAAGCTTTAAGTTGTTAGTAAACAGGCCCAACAATGCATATTTAACTCTCCGACACTCTCTCACAAGTAACTCTATCTTGCACGTGGAGACGCAAACATCTAGACATAAAGAGAAACATAATGCAAACAGAGAGACTTGATCCCAAAACCTCTCCTAACCTTACTTTGATACCATATTAGATTACCACCACTAGTTCTAAAAAGTTTTAGCTGCTAGGAAATGGACCTAACAATGCATATCAAGCTCTCCAAAATTTGTCACAAAAAAATTGTTAACTTTTAAATTCTTTAAACAATTGTGACGGTCAACTATATGATCACCTTAACAAGTCTTTAGAATGCACTTGATCTTTTCCTTTTAGGCACTAAGAAATATGATTACCTCAATAAGTGTTTTTTGGCTCAGCAATTACCTCGATAAGATATTCCCTTCATTCTTATTCTATGTTGTTTATGGATATAATTGACCTTTTGTGTGCTAACTTGGTGTATTGGTTTTGAATTTGGCACAAAGTTGGTTGATATTATTTTTGCTTTCATCTTCCTCAGTTGAATCATGTTGTATAGCTGTTTAAATCAAGGTGTTATTGCTTTCTTTACTCTTTAGTCATGTTGGATAGCTTGATACACATTATTAGCCCCATTTTCTAATAGTTTAAGTGCTTGCGATAATTGGTGACTTACCATGGTATCAGATTAGCAATAAATCATGTGTTCGAACCTTACCACCTGAGTAATAATTATAATAATATGTGTACATATTTAACCAGCTTATGGAGAAGAGTTTGGCCACATGTAAGTGGGCTTGTTGAGAATATAAACAATTATGTTATCCCTCTCTCTATCAATTTAAGCTTTTATACGGGATGGTTATCAAGAATTTAACATGGGTTCAACTTATTTCCAAGAATTTAACATAGCTTATTTCCAGCGAGTCTTGGGTTCAACTTTCATGATCTGTTTTTACTCGCCCGATGTGTCTATTATTGTGCACTTTTGTCTGTTTATGTGCAGCCTGTCCAGTTCAATTTGTTCACTTCTCCACGTGTGAGACGGGGCCACATGCGAGAGGGAGTGTTGGATTGTTTGATATACATAGTTGGGATCATTTCCCAGCAGCCTAAGCTTTGTGGAGAATTGGTGACTTAACCAGTTACATGCAATGTGCTGTTGTTGATGATCATATTGTGATCATTTGAATGGACTGGATTTTCTGTTCGCTAAACCATAAACGCTTGGAAGTTTGATAATTTCGTAGTCCTAGATTTTCTCATTTTTTATTTTATTTATTTTTTATGGATCAAGTTTGATGATCTCCTAGATTTTTGAGGTGTTTAGTGCTTAAGATCAGATTATTATATAGTGTTAATTATGGTCAGTTTTGAGCATTTTTGGCTTTTCATTTTTTGTTTTTACACTAACTTTATAATTTAAGTTGAAGTGGTTTAATGAAGTTAACCTGAAGCATCTAGTACTTTGTTTCTTATCATAAAAAAAACAGGTCTACATATAGTGCTTTGTTCAAGTGGTTAAAAGAAATTATAGGTGTGTAGTAATTTTCTTGACTGTACCAAAACACATGAAGTGAAATTGAGGATCTGAAATAGCTATATGATGGATGCTCATTGTGTAATAAAAGCTGCAAAACTATGAATAGTATGAATAGAAATCTTTTAATGGCCAACTGTGAGTTCTAGTATCCCCAATTTAAGCAATGCCAGAATCATCCAATGAAATAACCTATACTCAAAATAAAAGCATTTTTTTTTCCAATTTTTTGGGCATGTTATATTCTATTTCTCAGAAGTGCCATTGCAATTGTTCTCAACTATAAGTTCATATAGTCCCTGTTCATTTCGTTGTCATTACTAACTTGGGCTATTATCATTCTTCCGGCTTCCAGCTCCATGAATCTTTTTTTTCCTAATTGTTTGGATGTATTACTAATGAGACCAGTGTATAGCTCCATGAATCTTTTTTTTCCTAATTGTTTGGATGTATTACTAATGAGACCAGTGTATAGCAAGGTTCTCTTATATTGTGACTTGCGTGAAGAAGCTAGTTCTAAGTGGGGTTTTCTGCTCTCTTACCCGTGTCTTATGCGTTCGCATGGTCTAGCAAATCTGACCTATGGCTATGGTTTTTTTTTTTTTTGAACTAACCTATGGATATATAGTTTATGACTGTTTTTTGTGGTTATTTGAAAAGCTGAAGTTCTATTATCTATGATGGCTGCAATTAGTAATTTTCCCCACGCTGTGCTGTTGCTTCTATCATGTTAATATGTAAAACCTTGCCATAGGGGTTGCAAGGGGGCAGGCACCCCCTTGTGCGAAGGAGGCGGTTTGGGGGCCCTTAAATCTGAATTTTGGAGTAAGGTTATTTTTGGTATTTCCACATTTGTGACCTGTTGCCCTAAGTTTCGATGTATTTATAGTTGAGGGAAGGCAGTTATCTCTGTAAAATTTTATAACCTTTTTATCATAGTGAAAAGAACGGTATCTATGGACGTAACCCTTGTTTGGGATGAACTACTTAAACCTTGTGTTCTTTGTGTGTGTGTGATTTATCTTTTTTGTGTGTTTGCTCATTTCTTTATTTTGTATTTCACTGATCTTGATTAGATGTTATGAATTCCTGACAATTAGTGCAGCAAACGGTGATCTCTATAGAAGTTTGACCCATTGTTTACCCGTCATCTTTAGTTTAAACAGGTGTGGAAATTCTGTGTAAGCTATGGCTCTTGATGGCATAGTATCCTCTCCACATCGAAGGTCACAAAATGCACAGAACGCATTTTCATCGTCATCATCACCATCACCAACGAAGAAGCAGTACTTAAAAGAGGAATTTGGAAGCTGCTCGGTACTCCTCGAGCGGCATCGGTTCCTCCTCACAGCTCTTGCTCTTCTGGCATTTCTTTGCACGATTTATCTCTACTTTGCGGTCACTTTAGGAGCTGGCGAATCATGTTCTGGTTTGACGGGGACTCAGAAAGCATTGTGTCACGTGGAGCAGGCAAAAGCAACCATAGCCAAAGGAAAATTAAAATTCTTTTAGTTTGTATGTAGATGACAACCCTAAAGATGGTGGTGGTGGTGATTTTCTTTCCACTAGGGTTTGAAAGTGAATTAATGAATTGTTTGTTACTCATAGGTGTTTGAAGAACCTTTCTGGAGGTGGGTCATTGGTTTCAAATAATGTATACATTAATTGCAGTGAAATTTTGTTTAGAGAATTTGTGTAGCAACCTTAAACAATTTGTCCTACTTGTGAGGAGGGGAAAAAAAAGAAGCAAAATTGTTGTTTGTAAGGAATCTTTATATTTAAGGTCCATTTTTTGTGGTGATGAATGTATTATTACATGATATTTGGTGCCTTAAATGGGGAGGAATGGTGGTGGTTCATTGTTAAAAAGGGTAAATAGAATAATTCAGTCATTTTTATTAATCATGCTAATATTAGTGTCGTTAAATGAATCGAGCTACTAGCTTGACTTGTGTCTGTTCGGATTGTTAAAAAATTGTTTCTGATCAGTTCGGTAGGTAAATAAGCAAAGCTACCAAAATGCCTAAAGCAAACTACCAAAATGAATTTTTCATATTACAATTTTGTCCTAAAGTAAACTACCAAAGGCCCCATTTGTTTTCCGCACTAGCAGTCCACTCTGAACTATGAGTAATGAATTGTAAAATTAGCTTATGTTTATTTTAATTTTTGAACTCCGGTTTTGTAATCCCTTCGGCTTAGGGTAGGCCTTGGGCAGTGGATTAGTAGTCCTGGGTTGAAAGATGTATTAGCAAAGTAGTTCGTTCGGATTGGGTGTTATCGGACGTCCGCCTGGTCAATTGGTCAATAGCATTTTTTATTTTTTTTACACTTGTTAGGCATTTTTTTTAAAACATTAATATTTAATTTTTTGTATTTTTTGTTAAGTAAAAATCGTAGTTTTATTTATTTTATTATTTTGTATAAAAATAATTTAACAATCTCACACTAACAACTCTTATCAAAATAAACATAATTTTACTAATTCTCTCACTATCAATCTCTTTCATTCTATCTCTGAAAACAAACGGGTCTAAAATATCTTCATATTCGTCACCCAAAACCCTAATCCTTTAACCTTTAATAACTGTTAGCTACCGCCGGTAGTAGTGATGAACTTCCTAACTCTTTTTTTACGATCTCTTGTTGTCGTTACCCCATTCCTCATCTTTCTCCGACTACCTCAACCCTTAATCTACCATCCACAACCACCTCAACCAAGAACCCATCATGGCTTGTCAACAGTAGTAAAGGTTAGGGATAAAGAGGGAGAGAGATCAATGAGGGATTTCGAGGAGGGTTCACAACAGAGAAGGGCTTGCGATTGAAGGTGCTTTACAATGTTGGGTGGTTCACGGCGATGGCGGTTTTGTAGTAGAGGGGTTGCAGCGGAGGAAGGTTCGCAATGAAGGGGATTTGCAAGGCGATGGTTTGAGTGGGAGGTTCACAAAGAGGGGCTCGTGCTGATGGCAAGGGTTCACAATGGTTTGTGGCGACGACAATGGCCAACGGTGGGGGCGGGTATTGGGGGCTTTTCCCAAACTAAGCCTCTTTTGCATTCTATTTCCCAAACTAGGCCTAGTTTGGACGGAATTCCCAAACTAAGCTAAAGCGCTATTACAAATCGCGCTTTCACTGTTTGGAACCCAAAATTTGATGAATAGTGAAAGCGCTATTGTAAAATGCACTTTTAATTAATAAATCGCTGTTTTAAATCACGCTTTTAACATAAAAAATTTTTTCTAAAGAAAACGCTATTAGAAATAGCGTTTTCACTGTGCATATAAATTTATTTATTTATTTTTTTTTTTAGAAAACGTTATTTGAAATAACATTTCTACTGTTGACCAAAACCAACCCCCCTCTGACATACGCACACACCCACAAACACCCAACCCACACTCTTAACCATTAAAATAATATAATTTTTATATATAATAATAATTTATAATAATAAATTATATAATTTTTATAATTTTCATAAATATAAATCATTTTTAGGTTATAGATGGTTTGATTTATAATACGTATGTAAGGGTAAAAAATTTTATAATCAAAAATAATTTTTGCAATTTTTATAATCAAAAATAATTTATAAATTACCAAAAATAATTTATAATACGTATGTATTATAAAATTTTTTTATAATAATTTATAATATATATGTATTTACTTTAAATAAATTATATATAATCCGTATGTATTATATATATAATTTTTATATATTTACTTTAAATAAATAAATGAAGCCGCAACTTATTGCCCAAGAAATAACCCACCAAAGCAGAATCTCTTTTTTTTTTTTTTTGATTAAAATGAACAAAGTACAAGACAGAAAAGAAAACAAACAAAAGCACAGCAGAGGGCCAAACAGATCAGGCCCTTTCAGAAGAAGTCCCAATAATGTCTGCAACTAGGAGACTTGTAATCTCATTTGGGGGATCGTCTAAAACTACCAGGTTCTCAACATGATTCACTCCCATGTTAGCAAGGCCATGGGGCACATTTGTTGCTTTCCGTGAGAATGTGAGTAGCAAAGCAATTGCATCTCTTCATAAGGAACTTGATATCTTCTAGCATAGCTCTGTATGGGAATTGGCTAGGTGTGTTGTCGTTGATGTACAACACCATTTGCTTCGAATCTGTCTCAATGGAGATATCCTTCCAGCTTTTCTCCAAATTGATAGTAAGGTCTCTATACACTCCCCAAAGCTTAGCTTCCTCACTTGTGGTTGACCCTAGTTTCCCATAATAGCCTGGAATCTAAGATCCTCTTTCATCTCTGAAAAGACTACCGTATCTCGCCGGGCCAGGATTGTCTTTAGAGCATCCGTCTGTATTGAGTTTTGTTTTACCTGCACAAGGAGGGCACCAATTAGTTAAAGGACTTAACGCACTATCTGTGAATTGGTCAGATTGGAAATCTTGATGAATTTCAGTTGCTTAGAGTATCTCCAACCCAATATTCTCACCAAGAGAGGATGAAAATAATTTTTTTATTTAAAAAGTAAATATAGAATATGTCACTATTCATTCAAACTCTAATCACAAACCTTCATTTCCTTCGTTCAAATTCCAATCAAAAAGTAATTTTTGTTCATTAATAAATATTTAATTTTAAAATTTTTGTAAAACGTATTTAATATTATACTCATTTTAAAGGTATGATTTCATACTTTTTATTGATGTCAATTTTATAAAAATTAAATTTACATATTAAAAGTTATTTCGAATATAATTAAAAAATATAGAGTGAATAGTGTTTTAGAGTCTCTTCTATTTTTTCATCCTCTCTCTATATTTGGAGGATCAATTCATCCTTCTCCATTTGGGAGGAGGATATAGAGGATTGGTTGGAGTTGTTTTTGAGAGAGGATCCTCCATATTGAAGATATGGAGGATGAGTTGAAGATGCTCAGAGGAAAAGTTTGAAGAAGGTAGGGGTTTTGCATTGAACAAAATAATGTGTTTAAAAATCATATTAATTGTGTCTATTGAGTAAAAATGTACACACAATGTATTTGATGTGTGATGTGTGGAAATAAAAAATTCCCATATTTTGTGTTTTCATAATTTTTTTATGACTCACTTGCCCTCAAAATTGACAGAAAATAGTTATGGAATACAAGAAACCCCAATCAACTTGTTGAGGAAGCAATGAGCGATAATAACTTTTTATCCAAATTATTTGGCAATCCCCAGTCAAAGAGAATGATGTATGGATTATTTCTGTATTTTCATTAGTGCCTTTTGCTTGCAAGCCTAGCCAAGTAAATGTGTTTGATACCTAAATTAAATAATATAGTAAAAGTTATAAATATTCATGATATGTTATGTTATGTTATTTAATGATTGAAGTTATGAATGACAAACTGTAAGGTGTATTTCTAAAGTGAAAGTTATGAATTACGTTGTGAATGTTATATTTATGTCATGTTTAATGTGTGGTAAATTTACGAATTATTTATGATAAGAAATTGTACAAATAATTCTAATAAAAAAGTTGTGATATGCACTATCTTTAAGAGTGCACACTACACTACAGCATCTCTCACATGTTTATGTTGACAATTAATATGGACAAGGGTGAATTACATTAATAGTCCCTATAGTTTAGGACTTGTGTCACTTTAATCTCTGACTTTTTAATTGTGACATATTTGATTCTGAATTTTGAATTTTGTTCCAAATAAGGACAATTAAAGATATCATTAGATTTTTCAAGGGTAAAATCGTCAATTTGATAAAATATAAACTAATTTGACAAAAATAAATGTCAAACAAATATTTTTGAATTTTTAAAAATTATTTCTACTCACTAAAAATAAAATTATGTAAAATTGATAAATCTTTTAGATATGTATATATTTTTTACCAAATTAATTTTTATTATGTGTTTGGATAATGATCTTGTAAAATTAATTTTTAAAATTAATCATGTAATTTTTATTAATTTTTATCAATTTTACATAATTTTATCATTGGTGGATAAAAATAATTTTTTAAAAATTAAAAATATTTTTTTGGCATTTATTTTATCAAATTATTTTATATTTTATTAAATTGACGATTTTGCCCTTGAAATTAAACAATAATATTTTCAATTGTCCTTATTTGGAACAAGATTCAAAATTCATGATCAAATGTGTCACGATTGAAAAGTCAAGGACTAAGTAATACGAGTCTCAAACTATAGGGACTGTTAGTATAATTTTCCCATGTCAACATTATTGGGAAGTCTAGATTTCATATAATTGTGTTCACATTTACTCCTACAAGCTAGAAAAACATTTTTTAATAAATAATCAAAGATATGAGATGTTGTGGTAAAATAGAGAAATTTTAAATTCTATCCTTCTGGATTCCTCAATTTGAAATTAGGTATGTAGTTCTCAAAATTCGTCATCATTTTTGTAATTTTAGCTTCAACTTTTGAAGTTTCATTATCCTTTGTTTGGGAGAAGAAAAAAAAAATTGAAATTTCACTGTTTTGAAGACACTGAAAATTTATAATTGTTGACATTTTCTTTCATAATTGTTTTTATTTTTATGATAAATTTCCAATTATACCATTTTAGAGCTTAAATTTGAAATTATATACTCAATTTTTGCAATTGATAATCAATTTTACGTCACCTTATTTAAAATAAAATAAAAAAAGTTTTTATGAGTGGATATAGTGAAATTTCATCCATTTTTTTTATTATTAAGAATTTCATATTCTAAAAATGAAAATTCTATAAATAAATAAATAAATAAGATAAAAAAAAAAAGTGATCTAAATCAAAGTTAATAAATTTTAAAATTGTTAAGGAAGTGTGAGACGCTATTTGCACTGACATATTCTAAGAAGTAATTCATATTTTTTTTTGCAATTTTGAAAAATAGTTTTTGAATTTTCAATTTCGTATTTTTTGGATTTTAGTGATTTTTTAAAAATATTTTCATAAAAAATTTAACTTTTTAAATGTAAATCTGAATACAACTAAAAAGTACAAAATTTGTGAAACAATTTTAAAAGTTTACTATGTGGAAGATGGAAATTCGAGTCCAACCCAAGAATAGGATGGGTCCAAGAAAGTTGGATAAAGGCCTAAACTAAACATGGCCCAAGGTAAATACGGGGCTGACTAAATCCATGGCATATCTAGGGAAAGTAGGATACGGTTCAGACTAATCAATTGACATAACAACAGTTGTTCGATCAACACATATCCAGCGATCAAGGGTTGAAACAAGTTGGCTGCCACTAAAAGTTTACTAACAGAAGAAAGACCGTCCGATCTACCAAGATTTGATGATGGTATTTTAATACAACATGACTACTTCATTTGACAAAGAGCCAGTCGTTTGATGAGCAAAGATCCAACGATTAGTAATAATCATAAGTTGGCCACTACTAAAATAACTCTGGATAAAAGGCTGAATGTCCAATCAAAATGAGATTAATGGTTTACAACCACACGACAATCAACTATAGAAAGGGAATTAGTTGAATAGGTAAAACAGACACAATGAGGTAACCAAAAATATCCTAAAAATATTTGTCTTTACTTATCTATCACGGAAACATTCAATCAAATCATTGACTTGATCGTCGAAGGGTTATCTCGACCTGAATAGATCGGAGGTGATCACTGACTTTGGTTTCTCTTGCAGGAGCAAGATTGGGTGCATCATCTCACCAATCCCATGTGGAAACAAATTCACCATCAGCACACTTATATACAAAAAAAAAATTATTATATTTTCATATTTTTTGGTATTTAGTGAATTCTTTTTAAATTTGTTCACAAATTTTTACCTTTTAAATACATTTAGATTGTGTCTAAAAAATGGAAAAAAATTACTAAAAAATATATAGAAAATGTACTAAAAATAGTAAAATACCAAAAAGAAATATCAATACTTATTTTTGAAAATTCAAAACTAAATAGAATAAATTTTGTTTATCTGGGACAATTACAAAAAAAAATAAAAATAAAAATCAGTGGGTTCATGCATTCTAACAAAATAAATTATGACTTTTCAATTTATCAATTTAAATACTAATATTTTAATTTGTTTTTAATTAAAATCATTCATCTATTTTTGTAAAGTAAAATTGACAAAGAAATAATATTTTAGTTACTAAACTCAAAGTAGATATAATGAACTACGAGTTCCAAAAAGAGAGAGCAGAGCATCTCTTTCTAGGCGATTTTCGGGGTCACTCCAGCGACCCCCTCTATATTTCTAAAGTGTAGATCTGGACTTTTTATATCTGAAATAGGAGTTTCGAGAGTTTTTTCCTCCGATTTCGGCATATATTTTTGAATTTTCAATACCCACAAGGTTTCCTCATCTCTCAAGCCTTCTTACATACCATTATGGGTGTACTTTCTTTTCAACTCTAACTTCTTGTAGTGTCTGAAGTCCGGCGATAGTAGTGGCGAAGTTAGGGAGTGGTGATAGGGACAACGTTAATAGGTATGACGGGCTTTTAAGCAGATTTTGCTTAGTTTGATCTAGATCTTACTTTTCAAATTATATCGTTGAGAAGATTAGTGATTTTTTCTAAATTGTAATTTATTTTTTTGCAAATTTATTTTTTGTTGTTTTGTTTTATTAGCCCCATTTGGTAGAGCTTAAAATCAGCTTATTTAATCTTTTAACTTAAATTAAGTAATTTTTGAGTGTTTGGTCTAGCTTAAGTGATCAACTTTTAGCTTAAAATAAGTCAAAAAAGTGATTATTTTTTGAGTGGGTGAGGAGGTGCTTTTTTGAAGTAGGTTAAGCGGGAAGCTAGAATTAAGGGACAAAATTACTTAAATGCCCCTCATCAATCTCAAATATTACCAAATGTCCACTATATAAACAACAATGAAAACACTGTTCACTCCTCTCAGAGAGTGATTGGCGATTTCTTGCGTGTGGAGGTGATTTCCGGCGTTGTGCTCTCTCTCTCTCGATGAAAATGAAGATCTGGGTTGGTCAGCAATGAAGATGAAGATCTGCAATCTCACTCTCTCACTCTCTCTGCGCATGTTTGGGTCGATAGGGTTTGGAAGCGCGATGGTGACGGGGACGACAACACGACGGGATCTGGGTTGCTCGTTGATAAAGATGAAGATCTGTTGTCGTCTCTCTCTCTCTCTCTCTCTCTCTCTCTCTCTCTTTATGTTTCTCACGAACCAATTCCCATCTCCGGTATTGTTTAGGTGTGTGAACAATGATGATCAATAGTGCTCCCTCTCTGTCGTTCTAGATCGCGGTATGTATGCGTAATTTATAGCGGCGTACGGATGGTTTAGGAAGGAAGAGAAGAAAAAAAAAATTAAATAAATTAAACAAAAATAATAATTAAAAACAAAATAATAAAAACAATAATTAAAAACAATTGTTCTAAAAAAATTAAATTTATTTCAATTAAATAACTTCTTTGGTATTGTAATAATAATATATAAAAAAACAATTGTTCTAATTGATATAAATGAAAACAATTGTTCTAGGGTTTTGTAATGATTTTTTTTTTTTGAAAAAATGAAATATCACTAAAAAAAATGATATAAATTGAAAAAAAATGAAAGGATTTGTCAAATGAAAAAATGAATTACTAAAAATGAAAAAATGAAATATCAATAAAAAAAATATTTCAATTAATATTGAAATAAATTGTGCAATTTATATCCATTAAATAAATTACACAATTTATTTTACAATTTAATTGTAATGAAAAAGAATAATAAATTAAAAAATAACAATTGTTATATTATTAATTGTAATGAAAAAAATTTAATAAAAACAGAATCACAATTAAAATAATTTAATACTGTATATTTTTGTAATGAATTAATTATTAATTGATACTAATTAATAACAATTGTTGATTATTAATATTATTTGATACTAATAAAAATTAACTCTTGATAAAAGGCTGAATGTCCAATCAAAATGAGATTAGTAATAATCATAAGTTGGCCACTACTAAAATAACTCTTGATAAAAGGCTGAATGTCCAATCAAAATGAGATTAGTAATAATCATAAGTTGGCCACTACTAAAATAACTCTTGATAAAAGGCTGAATGTCCAATCAAAATGAGATTAGTAATAATCATAAGTTTTAATTGATATTGATTAAGCAATTAATTGATACTAAATAATTTATAATGGAAAAAAATTGTTACAATAATACTTCCATTACATTTTTATCAAGTGTATCAATTTTATATTAGTTGATACTAATTAATACTAATTATATTAACTTTCATTAATGAAATAATTTTTTTAAATTAAGATTGAAAAAGAAAATGACAAAATTATCATTTTTATAGCATATAAGGGCAAAAAGGTCAATTACACATAAAAAGTTATTTTACAGCTTATCAACCAAACACAACTCTCCTACTAAAATTCATAATCCCATAACTGTACCAAACAAGTTAACAGCGTATATTCACAGTTATAAGTTATAATATTAAGATATAATTTATAATCATTTTTTCACAACTCTCCCAAACGGGGTCATTGTTTGGTTGGGATGACCCTTTGAGATCTTGTTTATGTGTTTTTATTGTTTATTAATATAGATGTTTCTCATGTCCTAAAAAAAAAGAAGTTGATATAGTGTATATAATATATTTTTTAATTGAGGTTAATGGTTAAAATATTTATTTTTTTATATTGATTTTAGTTAATGAAAATAGATAAATAATTTAAATTGAAAACAAATAAAAATTTTAAAATTCAATATTTATTTTATTATGAAAGTCAAGCTCTCGATATTTTTTTGTTTGTAATTTTCCTTATTTATTTTTGATGATGCTCAGGAACACAAAAAAATCTAAAAGGAATTTTTTTTTTTTAAATTCTTGATTTTATTAGATAGATGACATATAATATCTTTATAATAGTTAAAGTTTTTTAATATTTTTACAGAAAAAATTTGATTTAAAGAAATTTTACTTGATTCAGAAAAATTTCAATTTTCATAAAAAAATACTCTAGTATGATCATAGAGAAATTTCGAAATTTTTTTACAAAAATTGAAATTTTTCTAAGTCAGAACCAATTTTTTTTTCAATTAGACAAAATTTCTTTAAGTCAAATTTTTTTCGGTAAAAATGTTGAATAATCTTAACTAATAAAAACTCTCTTATTATAAATTAGTGAGGAATGTTTCCCTAATTATTTCAAAAATAAAAACCAAAAAAATAATTTCAATTTTGTTTTTCCTCCAAGTATTCCCTTCAAATGCATGTATGTATACAAACAATAACTCCACATTTCTGTCGAGTCACCACCTTCCCTGATCTCAACTTCTCCACAATTCACAAACCCTAATTTCCTTAATTTCTTCTTCTTCATCTTCTTCCATGGCAGATTCTTCAGCAACACTTCACAAACCCAAATTTCCTTAATTTCTTCTTCAATGGCAGATTCTTCAACAACACTTCACCACCGCAGCACCAGATCCGATCACAAACGTTGGATCCCACTTTTCCTCTCATCAAACCAAACCCTTCTCACCCTTCTCTGGACCCTCGGATTCGCTCTCATCATCCTATGGCAACGCAACGCCGTCGATCGGATCTTGGAGCTCCGCCGCCACCGATGGGGGCCGCCGCCGCCACTTCCCATCCCGAAGCTCCGGCAGCTGGCCTTCAATTTGACCGACTTCGGAGGCGTCGGCGATGGCGTGACCGTAAATACGGAGGCATTCGAGAGGGCAGTATCGGAAATCAAAAAGAGGGGTGGTGGGCAGCTTAATGTTGAGAATGGGTATTGGCTCACTGCTCCTTTCAATCTCACCAGCCACATCACTCTCTTCCTTGCTGAAAATGCTGTTATTCTTGGAATTGATGTGAGTATTTTTTTTTTGGTTCTGTGTTTGGCAGTTAGGAAAATGTAGGAGATCAAAAAGAGAAACATTTAGATGTTTAATGCTAGAACTCACGTACATAAGAAAACTATTAAGAAAAAGGGATTTGGTGAAACCTCTCCCAATAAAATTTTAATGCATTAAAAGCAAAGCAAGTACAACAAGTGTTTTTTTGAAAAATCTAATACTCCCTCCGTCCCAAAATATTGGTCTCTTTTGGAGAATCCAACTTTTTTTTGGTAGTACACTTATTGCATTTGAAAAAAGTTGATTTTTCAAAATTACTCTTTTGATAGTACATTTTTTGGGAATATCAATGTCATAATTGTACTTTTTAAATTGTTTATTAATTTAAAAGAAGGGCAAAATAGGAAATTTACATTATTTTTGTACTTGATTTATAAAGAGGGACTAATATTTTGGAAAAAAATTATTATTACCGTCAAAATTGATGTACTCTGTCTCATAGTAACAGTATCATGATATTCTGTCTCACAGTAACAGAAACATGACAGTAACATGTTATTTTAACAATATTATCTAAAAATATATATATATTTTTATCCTTACTCAATTATGTTTTTTGTCCTTAAAGGTTTATGAAGCAAAATAAGTTAGACGGTCTTTTTTACCAAACAAGGGTCTTAAATCTTCCTAAGAAAAAATAATCACGGTCGGGATTATTTAAGTGGGACCCGTCATTTAATAATCGTACAGAAATGCACGGAAAATTTAATTCTAACTATAGCCCACATAAAACTCAGAATGAATATTTGTGTTTGAATTATGTGAAACTATCATTTCTCATTAAATCTGGACCACATACTATTTTTATTTATTTATTTTTTACTTTTCTGTGTTTGAATTCTTAGCCTGTAGCATTACTCTTAAACTTGAGAAAATTTTATGTAAAATTGCTCAAAAAGTGAGCAAAATTCAAATTGGATTAGATGTCTGAATTGCAGCTTATCAAAATTTGTAATAATCGGCCAAATTTAGTAATGGCCGGATTTGGAATACGGAAAAGATGCTGTCTTTATTAAAAAATTTAATTGCACATTAAGTTTGAAAATCTGAAGTGTAAGTTCGATTCTGTTTTATTTGGGTAGATTAGGTTCAATTTTAGAGTAATAATCAGTTAATTTTGATCTTGTTTTCTCTGTGGGGGTTGCAATGATTGTGTTGTTTAGATGCATATGATGAATATGAAGTGGATATTTTGATTGCATAAGCATGTGGCCTATAAGTGGATTTGAATTTCATGGCTTCATTCAGACTCATTTTGGGTGAGTGGTAAATATCTCAAATTCAAATGGGTTAGTGATTAGCAGTTATCTAGATTAAGTCCATACTCACCAAAAAGAAACAAACAAGAAAGATGGTGGTCATACTTACCCAAATTAGGAAGAGAGAGGAAAAAGAAAAAAAGAAAAAAAGAAAAAAAAGAAGAAGATGATGTTCATGATCCTAGAAAGGATTGACTGACCTTCACCAAACTTTGATGCAGAATAGCGGCATCTCCTATAGAAGCAGGTAATGAGTTCAATGAGTGTAAATGGAAAAAAATAAAAATAAAAAAGAAATAAATCAGGAGGGAAAGCTAGATAAGAAAACTGACCTTTCTGCTGTAGTTCAGACTTGATGTGATGTGAGTTTCAAAGGAATTGATGTTGGATTGGAGGATGAGGTGTGGTGGGAGCCACTCAAACTTGGGATATTGCAAAGATTTCCTATTCTAGATCATATGTTATAGTATGACTTGGACTGGATATTTTATTTCTTTATCAGTTTGTTGCCTATTTTTAATACTGTTATTTTGCTGTTGAATATTGAGTTGGCACATCCCTTTCCCCTTAAATCAATTCATATTCATACTGTTTCTCTGGCCACATTGGGAATAAACACATGAGCATGGTTATTGACCTATACATGCTCATTACTTTTTCTCTGGCCACATTAGGAATAAATACACGGGCATTACTATTGGCCTAAACATACTCTAAATATCTCTATATTCTCAACTATCCCAACCAAATCATTGGCTTATTAGCTGTTGACTTATTTTTATTTTCTTATAAACTTGTTCACTTGCATGGTATTTGATAGGATGAGAAGTATTGGCCTCTTATGCCTCCTTTGCCATCATATGGATATGGAAGAGAGTGCCCTGGGCCTCGTTATGGGAGTCTCATCCATGGTCAAAATCTCAAGGATGTTGTCATAACAGGTCAGATTACGGGAATTGTTTATCTAATCTTCACTTTTTGGTGATATATCCTTTACAGTGTTCTTTGAATTGAAAAACTTAGTTTGGTAGGTGGAATTAAGGAGTGGTAAACTAGTTATAACATGGCTCAAGCTTAAAGAACTGAATGATATATCAAAACATAAACCCGCATACAGGAGAGAATCGCAATCTTATTTTGACATGCATTCAAGATCATGTTAGCTGATGATTGCTACAAACTAGAACACATTATCTTGGTCTCGATGGGGCATTTCAAGGCATGGCCTTTGTAATATGGTTACTAAAAGAAGCGGGGTTCATTTTCTTGATATGAATGCAATATGGTTACTAAAAGAAGTGGGGTTCATTTTCTTGCGCGCGCGCGCGCACACACACACACACAAAAACCTTACACTCTTGATTCTACGATTGACTGACAGGGTATAATGGTACCATAAATGGACAAGGCCAAAAATGGTGGGAGAAGCATCAAAAGAAACTTCTGAATCACACCAGGGGCCCTCTTGTGCAGATCATGTGGTCAAAAGACATTCAGATTTCCAACATAACTTTGCGCGACTCTCCTTTCTGGACACTCCATCCTTATGACTGCAATAATGTCACTATCAGAAATGTAACCATCCTGGCTCCATTGTCCGGTGCCCCTAACACCGATGGAGTAGATCCTGGTAAGTTTTCACTACTGGTACCCTTCTTTCCATTTAAACTCGTGATGAGCGTCAATGTTTTCTGTCATTATTCTTTATAAGACAAACAGACTTATGGCACACGTGTCTATTGGTGGAGCTGCTTAACTGCATTTTGAGGGGCAATTGATAAACCTAATTTTATTGCTTTTAATTCGTGAACTGGATGTTCATCCATGCTTGGTGTATGAATAATGGTTATATGAACTTACGATTCTGTTTAAAAATCACTGAAGATGGTACAAAGTTGAAAAAGCCATGAACAATAGCAAAAAAACATGACTGGTTAGTTTTGTCTATTTTTCTGCTTGCCAGTTATTAAGCTTCTAGAAGGGGACGATATTGTTCAAGCTCCTAGGAAGATCTGAAAGCATGTCTCTGGTGAAATGCGACGGACTTTACTAACTGAAATATTGGGAATTATTATGTCGGTTTGGGCATTTTTCGAATACATAGTGAATTTAAAATTAAAAATAAAAAAAACCCTCAATCAAGTGAAATATAGGAAAAATGAAGAATTGAGCCACAACCATCCTACTCACCCTCCACCATCCTCATTAAGAAAACAAATAACTAATTGAACAAATGCAAAAAAATAAAAATAAATAAGGTTGACATTGTTGATATTGCCACCACAATTGAAGCGTGCAAAAAAGACCTTTGAGTTTCAGACTTTCAATATATGAAAAAAAAAATATATGAATATACATATATATGAAAGGTGTATGAAAGGTGTATAAGTGTAAAGGAACAAGCTAAGAAGCATGGACATGGACACGTGACACAACACGATACGGATACGCCGACACGCTAATTTTCAAAAAATGCAGGACACGACACGTGGAGGACACGCATGAAATATATAATTTTGTATATTTATTATATAATATATATATATATATATGAATATATCATTCAAAGATAATAAAAAATGCAATATGACACTAATCTCTGTTTTATTATTGTATCTTAAGTTGTTTTGTTCAAACTTATAATTAGTTTCACATGTGTTTAATTGATAAACACGTGTGTTTAAGAGATACACAGGTGTGTCTAAGAGATACACACGCGTGTCCTCCAAATGTCCAAAGAGTGTTGGGGTTTTTAAAAAATATGACATATTTTGAAGAGTGTCAGACACATATTGGAAAAGTATCTAAAAAGTGTCGGTGTCCGTTACGAACACGACACGGATACGTCACCCTCCTAGAAGTGTCTGTGCTTCTTAGGGAGCAAGTATATTAAGACAATTGCAGTGTACATAATATAGAGAAAGTCATAAGTTTCCCATTGAAAAAAAATTTAAAATAAAAAAAGAACAAAAAAGAAAACACCTGCACACTCGCCTACACACACATATAGTTGCATTTGAAGCACCAACACTTCAAAACAAGTGTCGTATCCGTATCAGACACACAGACACTTCGGGCACGCATATAGGACACACCACCTGGTGTGTCCCTTTATTTAATTAATTTATTTTCAGGAGACACTCCGGGAACACACTAGGGACATGTCAAGTTGTCTTTTTTTTTCATTTTATTTAGTGCCTTGGATGAATATTGAATGTTTATTATTTGTTTCTTAGATTTAAATACTTAATAGATCATCCATAAAAATAGATTGAAAATGTAAGTATTAATTTAAAAGTGCTTTAAAAAAAATAAAATTATAATTAGTTTTTGTTTATATTGATTGTTTGTGAATGTAATATTAATTTAGATAGCAAATAAAAATATATGAAAACATATTTTATTGCCGTGTCCCTGTCGTGTCCTTGTCTGTGTCCGTGTCTCCATTTTTTTGAAATCGCCGTGTCCCGTGTCCGCATTTGTATCCGTGTTCATGCTTCTTTGGTTGCATCCTCTTTGTGTCTATGTCCTACTTTTTTAGAATTTGCCTGGTAGGCATTTATTTGTCCTGCCTTTGTCTTTATTACTAAAAACAATTCACATGAAAATGTTAAAAATATGGCAATTGAAGCCTTCCAATGAACAATTTCTAAAGGAACCCCAAGGGGTCAGATTGGTGGTAAGGCTTTGGGTCGGACTGGTGGTAAGGCTTTGGGTCTTAGGGATGTGCTCCTTCGGGGTTCAGAGACTGAAACCTCTTAGGTGCTTACAATTTCTTGGAGCCATCGAATTGAGAGAAAATCCTTTAATTAACTGTGGTGCACTTGCAAGAAAACTCCTTGCCAAGGGCCTGTAGGCTGTACACCCCTGAGGATTAGTCGGGCTTTGATTCGGACAACCCGATGCCAATCAAAATTAAAAAAAAAATCTTGTTCAGGGATGATTCAGATTATTTGTCCATGTGCAATACTTATGCTATATGCCTGTTATGGAATACAGAAAACTTGGATATACCGAACAGAACAATATATCATGTCCAATATGATGTCTCAAAAACTTAATCTCTGTCTGAGCAAAGCTGGATTTTTCTTGCTTCATATATAATTCATGTTTGTGGTGCTTAGCTAGAACTAATCTTAAATACGTAGTGGATTTTTTTTGCCTGCATTTTAAGCAATGGAAAACACTCTAGGATTTCCCCCCTCCATTATTTCGAGCATCTGGAACTGAGATATTGTCTGTAACTTGTGCAGATTCATGTGAGAATGTGGTCATAGAGGACTGTTATATTAGTGTTGGTGACGATGGAATTGCAATAAAGAGTGGCTGGGATCAGTATGGAATTGCTTATGGTCGGCCTTCCACTAACATTCTCATTCGTAATCTCATTGTACGCTCTATGGTAAGGTGAGAGTTCTGTATCATAATTCAATTTCAGCACATACATACCCTTATCACTGTGAGTTGGGTCATTGCATATGTCTTCATTTGTTTTTACACACAAACTGTAGGTTCAAACCATACATATGTGTGTACATGCATGCCCTTGCAATTGCATGTGTTGTGTAAAAAAATCTCCCTTTAATTACCAAATTATATATGTTATTTAGTATTCTGGTGCCTTGGCGCTTGTTGCTACTTACCCACTTAAATTTCTCTACATGCATGTTTGATTTAGTTCTGACCTTTTCACATAAATATTCTCCTTATTTTCTATTTTTACATCCATTGCTCTTGAATTTTGAACTTTGTCACCACTCTTGCATGCTACTGAAAATTTCCAAATTCCTTTGTGGTACTCTCATCACTCATCCATGAGCTATCATTAAGTTGCTTTCCATGTCTTGGATATTTTTACTGAATTCTCTGTATATCTTAACAGTGCTGGAGTATCGATTGGCAGTGAAATGTCCGGTGGAGTCTCAAATGTCACCGTGGAAAATCTTTATGTCTGGAACTCAAGAAGGGGCGTCCGGATTAAGACCTGTGCTGGTAGGGGTGGATATGTTCGTAATATAACCTATCGGAACCTAACATTAGATAATGTTCGGGTTGGGATTGTGATAAAAACGGACTACAACGAGCATCCAGACGAAGGCTATGACCCAAAAGCCCTTCCCATCATTGAAAATATAAGTTACATTGGAATTCGTGGTCAGGGAGTTCGTGTGCCAGTCCGTATCTATGGTAACCCTGACATTCCCGTGAGGAATGTCACTTTCCGGGACGTGTCAGTGGGAATAACTTATAAGAAAAAGCATATCTTCCAGTGTTCCTTTGTTCAAGGCCGTGTGATTGGAAGCATTTTCCCTGCTCCGTGTAAGAATTTGGACCTGTATGATGAACAAGGAAGGCTGGTTAGGAAATCAACAACACAGAACGGTACTGATGTAGATTATGAAATTTGATGAAGGGAAATCTAGAGTTCTTAGTGGAAGCATTTGCGGTGATAATTGCTTAGCTTGTCTGTGCAGATGATGAAAGGCTTCATTCTCAACATGCTAATATCCAACAATTTGGAGGATTGAATTAGCTGTTTCAAACATTGTTTTTCCCGTGGAGATTTTCATCGTTGCCAAGAATTGGAAAAACTGGAATGTTGAGACATGGGATTTCCAAGTAAATACTTGGCGGTTCCATTTTTGTGATGCTTGTACTAGCAAATGTGGTCAACTGTTGAAATTAACTAGACGCCGCCTGTGAATGAGAGAGAGAGAGAGAGAATGCTGCAGTTTCAAATTTAAAGCAAAATTGAAAGAAGAGTACGATGTATAGCAGTTATTGGTTTTGATTCATTAAAACTGAGTTGGATTATGTGGCAGCTTGTTATTGGTTGTTTAGAAGTGTAAGAGCTGTAATTAGTTTTGTTAAATAATTAGTTACTAGTATTGATAGTTGTTATTTTTAGTTGTTTTGACAGTTCAAAGAGACCTGTGGATCAGAGCGACTGCTTGCATCTTATTTTTGAAGGAGAGGGAGAGGAGGGTAGAGTTAGGGGTGTCTTGGAATGTCTTATAACATAGCTCACTTTGTAATTTTCTCTCTTCTTCAATCTAAGACTTCATTGCAGAGCATTCAAAGAATTTTATTTATTTATTTATTTTGTGTGTGGAGGATTGTTACATTATTTACAACACAAATATATAGTCTAACCTGGGGGGGAGAGGAGGGAACGAGACTCGAAACCTTCAGTCTGGGTTTGCTAGGTTTGTTTGGTAGATAAGTGGTAACTAATGGGGTTGTTTGGTGCAGTTTATTTGAGTTGTTTATAATTTATTTTATTTTATTTTGATAGTTTATGTTAGATTGTTTGGTACAATTTTTACATATAACTTATTAGTCAAAATAACTTAAATAAGTTGAAGAACGGACGGGTGGTTTTGGTTTTTTGATTATCATTTTTTAATAAACAATAAATTTCACCATGAATGTTATTTTATATGGCTAAAGTACAGTAAAATTATTAATTTTTAACTAATAATAAGTTACACCGAGAGTGTTACTTTATATAGCTAAAGTATATTAAGGCCTCGTTTGGGAACCCTCTATTTTAATTAAAAAGTTACTAAATTAACTAAAAAGCTAACAACTCATACCAAAAAGTCAAAAATTCTATTTTCTCACTACTTTTTGCACATCTTTTCGTAAAAAGTCAAAAAGTCATCCCAAACATACTAGTTTTTTTTAGCTCATATCTTAGTCAAATAGCCTGTTCCCAAACGAGGCCTAAGAAACAAATGAATATTTTAAAAGGGAAAACAAACAATCAAGCCAACAAAAAGAGAAAATCAAATAAGTTCAAGTATTTTTTTTTATTATAACCAAAAAGAAAAGGAAAAATTACAATTTAGTAATATTTTTTAAAAATAATTACAGATTCATAAAAAAAAATAAAAAATTAAAGGCTTTTAATTATTAAAATTTATCACTTTCGAATTTTGTTTCCTTGTTATTTACCCCAAAAGAAAAGTAGAAGGTAGTATTTGCATTATTCTTGCCACTTTCTGGTTCTCTACATTCTTTTCTTGTCGGTCATAAAAAGCTCCTGTAATTTTTTTATTATTTTATTTCAATAACTTATTAGTTGGATTATTGGATCTGAGAGAATTGAAAGGAAAAAAAAAAAAAAAAACCTTCAATGGGCAATTGATGACATAAAAAATATATTTAAGGGCACAATTCATCTTTGAAACATCAATCAGTTCAGAGGGCCATTGCTATAATTAAATTAAATTTAGTGAACAAAATGTTAAAAAAAAATCTTGTAATGGATCACTTTTAAGAAATTAATTGTTGATATAAATATTTCGAAAGAACTAGTTGCATTTTCAAGAATATATTTTATGGACAAATTGTCAAATGCTCCAACAGTAATTATTCTTTCCTGAACAGTAGAGATTGGGCTGATGTCCAAAGGTATGATGTGTGTGGTCTCTGGGGGTCCACACCATCGTCTTTATTCCCTGCTTGATGAATGAAACACCAGGTAGCGTTTGATTTATTTTTTAAAACTCAATTTAAAAATAATTTAGATTAAAATTTATAATTGAATATAATTTAAAATTACTTTCAAAACTTATCTCATCTCATCTCTTATTTATTTATTTATTATTAATCAATCATTTTTTCTCTCTTATTTCTCCTATTTTCTCTCACATTCTATACATCAATCAATTAAAAAAATAAAAAAAAAATTACAAATCATCTCAAAACTATTTTCAAAACTCACAACCAAACAATTTTTCTCTTTTTGAAAATCAAAATTCAAAAACTCAAAACTTAAAATATAACTCCATATTCAAATCATAATTCTAAAATTAAATCAAACAGACTCCAATTTTATGTTTGTAGATTTTATTTTTTCTCTTTCAAGTAAAAAAGTTATTCCACGTATAAGAATATAACCAAAATCAGAGCAAATATTATTCTAAATTTTATAATATTATATTCTAATTCTAATATTATTTATACCGTGCTATCAGATAATGTTCGTACCTGAAGGCACGATGTAAATAATGTTAGAATTAGAATATCATTGTAATGTCAACACTATTTAAATTTATTTTTTAATTTGATAAAATCACAAATTTATTATAAAATTTTGGAGTTCTTACAAAATTTCTCATGAAAACTCGTTTTTTCTTATATAATATATAGCTAAATAGATAGATGTATCTGACATATATAAAATTTCCACAGACATATATACAATATTGCTTTTGCTTACATAATCATATGGAAATTGTATGTATGCCCGTAATAATGTCCTAGTGTATTACGAGCATATATACATTGTATGAAAATATGTGTAAAATATATTGAACAAAAAAAATAAATAAATAAATAAACAAAGGGGGAGAAAATAAAAAAAAATAAAAAGAAAAAAGGGAGGAAGATGGAATCATGGGAGGATGGGTGAGAAAATGAAAAAATAAGAGAGAGAAGCGGGAAAGTAAAAAATATACATGTAGGACATTTTTAAAAAAATATATCTCAGCCATTGTTTTATAATTTGAACAGATCTAAGCCATCCAAATGTCCTAGTAGGACAAAAATATGTTAAAAATTCAAAAACCGTCCTGCTTTATTATATAGATATAACCAAAATCAAAGTAAACCAAATCTTAAATCCCATTAAATGAGGTCGGTTTCATTAATCCTTATTCTTCACTTGACTCTTTCAATGACCATTTGGTTAGTCAAATTAAGGTGATTCATATTTCTATTTACTACACTCGCCCCGTCAATCTAGATCTGCCTATTCTCCAAGCACTTCTATTTACCGTCACTGCATCACATCTTTTCTTTACTGCCTTTGTTAGTCTCCGATGTATATGACCAAACCATCTCAAACTATTCTCCCTCTCAACTTATTTTCTATCGGTGTTATTCCTACTCATTCACGAATACACTCATTCCTAATTTTGTCTTTTCTAGTCTTGTCACACATCCATCTTAGTATCTTCATTTCAGCAATATTCATTTTATCTACATATTGTTTCTTAATTGCCTAACATTTTGTCTCATAAAACATCGATGGTCTAATAGCCGTTCTATAAAACTTTCCTTTTAGTCTAGTGGATACTCGTTTATCACACAGTCCAAACGCACTCCTCTACTTAAGTCACCCTACCTTAAATCTCTCTTTACATACTTATGTCTTACTTAGTCTAAATTATTTTTTTATGTTCCAATAAGTCTTATAGATAACATAATTACCAAAATATTCATAATAATAATATGGTGAAGCACACATTCATGTTCATATTGACAGTGTGAATGTTTCATGATGTGAACATTCACACACGCCAATGTGAATATTTATACTGTAAAATATGAATGTTCATATTACTAAAATTGCTAAGAGTTTAAAAAATATTTATAATGGTAAAGTTGTCCATAAAATACCTTAAATATGAGAATTAAGACTTGGTAGATCAAATATCCAAAATAATAGGATTTATTGAAATACAATAATATCTTATAGATTAATTTGGATACAAGTATTTAAAAGAAAATTTTCTAATAAATTTCTCAAATAATTAATGTTACAAAAATTAAATAAAATAGCATCACAAAGTTTCAAAATGCTTCATATAAAAATAGTACAATACATGCTAAAAGGGATTGACTTCTCCGATTCAAATATGGATTGGAGATGACTAATTGGGTTCGTGGGGCCAGTAATGATCCAAATCATTCATTTTATCAAGTTCTGTGGATATATCATTCATAAAAAAATTTAGGTCAATCCAATATTTGTAAGTCCTTTATTTTATAGAATTTGTCTCTAAAAAAATTAACAGTCAATTTGTTTTAATAATAGACCATCTATTTTTTTGGATACAAATGCAATAAAATGAAAGAGTTATGAATATCAAATCGACTTGATTTTTGTATGGATAATATAAATATGGGCCCGATAAAATGAACGGTTTGGATTATCAAAACGAGACTTGTAATAGACTCTATAGACTCAAACAGTTACCTCCAGTTTAAATATGGACCGGAGAGAAGCATCTCCAATATAAAAAGTCTACACATGAGTCGTAGTAAACCTGTAATATTTTTATGATTTCCAAAAATATCCTCCACAAGAACAACTATACAAAAACAAGGAGGGATGCCATATATTTATTATTATTTTTTAGATTCAGATTGTTTCCAGTCTACTTTGTGGACTGGAGGTTTTAAAAAGCAGCTGCAACTGTTACGTAGCGGTTGTGGTGGTTACCGCTACCTGTTACAGCCGCTATAATAGTATGATGAAAATTCACATGTGTAACGACTGTTTCAGTGTTACATAACGGCCATAGCGGTACCTCAACGGTCGTAACGGTATCGTAATGGTCTGTTAGATACCGTTACACCCAAGGTTTCAAAATGCGGTGTTACGTAACGATTGCGGCTGTAGGCACCACACGTTACCCCCGCTTTGTGGTATGATTGAGATTCACAAGTGTATTGGCCGTAGCGGTCATAACGGTGCCATAACGGCCGTAATGACTCGTTACACACCGTTATGTAACGATTTCAAACTGCTTCTTTTTTGGGGAAAAAAAAAAGGGCAAAAAAAGAAGCTAAAGATATGGAAAGAGAGATAGAGAGAGAAGATGGAAGATGGAGGAGTAAGAGATAGAGAGAGAGAAGATGGAAGATGGAGGAGTAAGAGATAGAGAGAGAGAAGAGGGAAGATGAAGAATATGTTATTAATTTGTTGAAACTGTAAGATCTATATTATTTTATTCGATTGCTATCATTCAACCATTTTGTTTGTGTATATCTATCTATATATTATTTGGAAAATAATAATAATAATAATAATAATAAGTGTGGTCATTATCTATTTGGCTAGATTAATATATATATATATATTTAGGCTCTTATTTCGTTTGGTTTTGGCTTTTTTAGTTGGTTTTTTGGTTTTTTTTGACTCTTTTAGCCTGAGACTTTTTTGATTATTTGGCTTTTTTGCTTTAAAATGACAAAATTGCTCTCCACTTGAAAATGATGTTTTTTTTGGCTTTTTGTTTGTATATGGGTCAATTTAGTAATTTTGTAAATTTTTTGTCTTTTTGTGATTTTATAGCTTTTTTTTGTCTTTTTGTGATTATATAGCCAAAATGGTTTGCCAAACTAAGGCTTACTTTTGTTATTATTTATCTTATATATAATAGCTAGTGATTGATTTTTTTGTAAAATATCTAGAAAACATAACACTTATAATTATATATTAATATATATTTTATACATGTCAATTTTTTTTGATTATTTTATTTTATTTTTATTTACAGGTTATCCAAAAAGAGAATGAATATTCGAGTCAGACCCAAATTTTTTTTAAAAAAAATTTTGTATGATTACATTAGAATGTATAATTTATTTTTTTAAACTATTCAAGTTAAAATTTGCATATACTTCCACAAGTATAATAATTAAAAATAATAATTTTATACATCTAAATCCAATAAATTTTTTTTTTGCCACAAGCGTCATATGGATTTATGACATATAAAGTTATTAATTATTAAAATAAAATGTAAAAAACTTTGTTTATAGTGATTTAAAAATATGAAATATATTGGATCAATATTGATCAAAAATTGATCAATATTGATCATACTTAAAAATTTACAAAAATTGATCAATATTTATTTTAAAACCCACAAATATGATTATGGAATAAAAATATGTGTGTCGGTAAGTTTTTTTCAATTTTTGGAAAAAATAAAAAAATTTACAATTTCGATTACCGCAACCGTTACGCTATGATCTTTACATCCTGCAACTACAATCGCGCCACTGCCACCTTTATGGCGGCTTTCAAAACCTTGACTGGAGTGGATGGGATAGTATTATTTGGGCTCGTGGGGCCTGTCATTGATCTAATTTTGATGATCCGAACCGTTCAATATATAGAGCTTGCTGAATACTTTGTCATTGCAAAAAATCACGTTGATTGGATATCAATAGTTACTTGATCAGAATACATTTTTGTTAATAACTTATTTTTAAAATCATATTTACCAATGACAAAAGTATGATATGATTAAGTGACTATCGATATCTAATTAACATGATTTTTTGTATGGATGAAGTACTCGACGAGCCTATACATTAACGATTCAGATTATTAAAATTAGATTTGTGATAGGCTTTACGGTTCCAACAATACACTCCAATTCAATTTCAGACTGGAGATAAGTCTTATCCTTATTTTTCTAATAAAAGACTCTTAACAACTTCAATTTTAAATTTCATTACATCCTTTCAATTACACATGTTAATCTGATTACCCTTATCTATACTATACTAATACATAAAGGTGGTTCGTTTCATGGGATTGAGATATAAGATTAGACTTTATGTCTAATATATTTATCAGCCCATTGTTTAGTTATAAAGGTAAAAATTAAACTAACATTTAAATGTACATCATTTTCAGTTAAATACTAGTGTACAGATTATTTATTTTAGAACTAATAGTCTATTGAATTACGATCTCTCTTTATTCAATCTGTCTAAAGAACAAGGTGTTATTCAAAATTGAAATTGTGTAGACTTTTTTATTCCAAAATTATCCACCAAGAGTTCTTATTTTTCTATTGGAATAAACTTTTGTAAAAGTTAACTGCTTAGGCAGACATATAAATGTCATAGACATTCAATACTTCTAGCTAGCTTTTTCTTCTTGCGACAATTTTCAGTGGAAAACCTATGGCTTCTTTCAAAGGTTGTTCTCTCTCTTTCTCTCTCTCACAATGTGTATTCATGAATGTAGATTATATCAAACTACTCAACAGGGAAGGTATATATATATATATATTTGTAGATGTATATTGATAGATTGTCAGCATGAATGTATTGTGCTTTGTTGACAAAATGAGGTTTATGCCCGTGTGAAATCATTTAATACATGGTGGCATTTATGTATGTATGTTGCATTCACACATTCTAGTAGCATAGTGCGAAGGTGCCAGGATGGATCTAGAGGGGGGTGATCCCCTCTTGATTTTAAATACACCCTTTATTATAGTAATATTAGTAAAAATTATCTATATATTATAAAGGCTCGCCTCTTTTAATATATATATATATATATATATATTTATCACAAATTTTAAGTGGTCATTCTCCGTAGATTATAAAAAAAAAATTTAAGTGGCTATTGTTGAAATATTATAATAAAAATATAATTATTTATAATGTAATTACTTTTTTATTTTGTTGTTACAAAACCTATAATAAAGTGACAAGTTACAAAACTTATATTGGGTTGAGATATTATAATAAAAATATAATTATTTATAATGTAATTACTTTTTTATTTTGTTGTTACAAAACCTATAATAAAGTGACAAGTTACAAAACTTATATTGGTATTCATAATCATTATTACATTCAATATAATATTATTATAAGATTTTATAACTATACAATTATGTGTACTTTACAAGTCTCTTGGTGGTCGTGAACACTAGATGAAGGACATTGTGAGTAAGTTTTATCTTGGAACTGTTCTACTCTGGTTATGAGAGGGAGGAAAAATAATTTTAGGACAGTGTTAACGTAACTCTCAAAATCTCACAGTTATGTTTCTCCAATTTTATTAGTTATCTATATATATTATTATTTATCATTATGGTTATTATTTAATTATGCTAAATATTCTATTAGTTTTATTGCTAGACTAACCACTTCATATCTATGAAATATGAGATCAAAATATAAAATTAAAAAAATGAACAAAATATAATAAAAGAAATTAATTTTTTATAATTACGGTTAATTACAAGTCCTAGTTTGTAAAGAATAGAACGTTTATTAAGAACAACATTGTATAATATTTTAATATCGATTTTATCATAGATTTTTTAATAATATGAAGAGTGTCGGGTACAACAACTAAATATATCCCACTTTAACATATAGATTGTTTTATAATTGCTATCTTGTGCAACTAAATATGAACATAAAAAGTGCTATTTATACATATTTTTATATTATTTTCACTTTTTATACTAGTAGAAATTGATATTATTATGCTTTCTTTTTAAATTTTTTTTTTTTAAACTCTATATGTAAATCATGGATCCATCCTTGGTGTCGTTTGGCAGCAAAGATTGAAAAATTGGAAGTTCTCATATTTATAAGATGACCTCAAACTTCCATAATTGTAACTTCAGTCTCTGGAACTTCGACTATAAAAAGAGGTTTGAGTTCTCAAATCCAACACAACTCAAAACAGAACGAAATCTGAGAGTAATATAGAAAGTGAGAACATTGGGCTCTTTTGTTTTCAGAGATAGGTTGGGTGAGATTGTTAGTGAGGAAATTATTAGTGAGGGGACTAAGAAAAATTGTGTTTGTTTGATAACTAATGGACTAGCAATAGTTTTTATATGTTTTGAGAGATAAGAGTGAGATTAACTATGTAGAATTTCACAAAGAATAAAGGTTGAGACCCCCTTTGGGGGTCACTCTCTTGACCCCCTTTAATTTTGATTTGTCAATTTTTCCTCTTTTTTTTTTTTTTTTTGTTCTCACCCAATCCCCAACCTCCATGTGTGTGAGGGGATTGTGGGGTGGGTGTTTTAAGGGGGTCTAAATCAATGCCCTAAATTAGGTAAGATATAGAGGGCAAAATAGTAAATCCTCCTCTAATCCCAATGCATTGTTTTTCTAATACCATATCTCATGAGGGACTACTAACCTTATCCATGAAGGCCTATCATAGTCCTAAATTATTGCGAATCTTCTTCCCCATTTTGTAAACAAATACAATATTAGTGAACCCCACATCCATCCTAATCCAATCACATCTCTTATAACTCAAAACAAACGGACCCATAGAAATATAAAATGAATTACTTGTATAGAGAGTTGGATACATAAGAGCTTGGGTATATTTCTAGGTGCAGTAATGCTAGGTATCATGAAAAGTTTTTCATGAAAATGATCATGAAAAATTTGTGACCTTTAGATTACACTTAGAATAAAACACCACACATTAATGAAGGTAATCTAAGAGTCATAAATCTTTCATGATCATTTTCATGAAATTTTTTTCATGATTCCTAACATTTCTCTTTCTAGGTGTAATAGGTTTGGGAATGTGAGTAACAACTGAGTCCACCGGTAAACTTGTTTTTTTCATAATGAAATATTCTTGCTGCCTTGTCTGTGGACGTGGGTTATAACCCGAACTGCATAAATCATTTGTCTTGGTGTGTGTTTGTTTTATTTCCCATTGATTATATATCATTATATGTATGCGTAATTTATAATTGAATATGATAATTATGACAATTATTTATAATAAATTGAAGAAAATTAAAACAGTTTATAGTAATTACAAGTCTATATATTTTGTTGAACTTAGCAGTTTTAGTGATAGTAAGAGAAGAACATTTTTAGAAATAGAAATTTCGTAGTATCAACACCAACTCCCTTTATATAAAATATCATAGATATTTAATTTAGAAACAATTGTAAAAAAATGGCAATAACATAAAATAATTACAAAGTAATGAAAGTACAATATTTACTTGCATAATTTAATATATAAATTATTTATACTTTCATCACCTTACAATTATTTTGTGATGTTATCACTTTTCTGCAATTGTCCCTTTAATTCAAGGCTATAAAAATTATTTTGATTATAGAAAAAATACACTTAAAGTTATTATTTCATCTCGTGAGTCTCCCAACATTCTCTCTAAATTTAACTTGATCAAATTGCCCAATATTAATTCTAGTTTTTGAAGGGAGAATTACAACACAATGAGATAACAAAAAAAAAAAAAAATTATGTAAAATGTAAAATGGAAGTAATTTTTGATGAGATGTAAGTGAGAAACTGCACTTGCACCCTTTCATTTTTTATTTTTATTTTTAAAATCATGCCACTAGTGTAATCAAGTTCCAAAGAGATAATAGTGAGTTATTTCTCTCTCTCCAGGTCCTTGGATTTCAGCAGAATCTGGGAGTTCTGAACCTCATTTAGCCATTGGAGTGGAAGGAGAAAGAACAGAGGAGCCTCTCCAAGTTCTTCTTACAAGGTGTGTTTTTGGAGGGAAGTCAGTCCCTTAGTTTTATATGGTTTCTTTACATCTTGTGGCTATAGATTTGGTTTTGCTTATGTTCATTGGACTCATGGAACTCATTATGAATTTTGTTTCGATGATATAAACCATTTGTTTTATAAAGTCTTCTATGTATATCATATATGAAAAAATTTAAGTCAATTCCATAATTGTAACATTGTTATCTGTACGGGAAAGAAATAAACCTTCTCGTATAATCCTGTTGATCAAGTCTGTGCTCCTCCAAACGTCGTCGCTTTACTCCCTGAAAACACAAACGTGAGCTAGCCGGCGAGTGTGTACCGGAAAACCCTCTGATGCCTAAGTCAGCAAAATAGACAAGTAGACAAAAAGCTCTGTAAATTCTAGAGTAAGAATTGGGATACCTGTCCATAGGTTTGGTCATGAGCTTTTATAGACTTTACTTTGGCACAATCCTAGTAGGATTCCAACTCTCTCTATGAGAGTCCTCCTAGGAATCACACACCTTACTCACTACCAACCAAGTGAGATGGTTTTGCACAATCCCAGTAGGACTCTAACTCTCCTTAGCAGAATCCTACTAGGAGTCTCATCACTGCAAGCCAAGTGAGATGGCTGAACCCTTTACCTCGGTTATACATTTCTGACCGAACTGCCTTATCTCGGTCCCCTGCCATTCAGACCGTGTGATAGAAAGCCGATCTATCGAATGCCACCCTACCGAGCTATACACAGCTCGGCCCTCAGTATTGATGTTACCTCGGTTTTGTCTGTTTAGACCGAGGTAACTGCAGCAGTCCCCGACCGAACTAACAAGGACAAGGTGAAGCCCAAATACCTCGGCCCATAGTTCGACCTAAATCCGAAATATGAGATGTCTTCTTGGCCTAAGACCGAGCTATACCAGCCCTTATCTCGGCCCATTGCGCGGCCTAACTTCCAAAGAAGACTCTTCCTAGCTCGGCCCAATTTGTTTATAAATTACCCTCTCAATTGCCCCTTAATTCCATCTGCGTAGCATGATTGGAATTATTTTTCCTCCAGCCGAGCTAAGAACGCCCTACTCTGCCGAGCTAAAAAGTTTGTTCGGACCCTAATAAGCCTTGTCAGTTGCTCAACATGTTCTTCCACTAATCTGGTACGACGTCATTCCCAGGATACATGGCGTGCCCCCAATATCCTTGTTCTCTTGTTACCATCGTCATGCCAAAAATTTGAAAAGCCCTGCCTTTTTGCCTTCAACGTATATATCCTTCGAGTTTGCAATCGTATGGCCAGTCTTTCTCTCTCTGTCTCGCCGAGGTAACCATCATCCCGGCCAAAGAGTTCAAAAAAATTTGTTGGTCAAACCTGCCAACCTGCTTTGGCCGAGGCAATCATCATCCCGGCCAAAGAGTTCTAAAAAATTTTGTTGGTCATACCTGCCAACCTGCTTTGACCGAGGTAACCATCATCCCGGCCAAAGAGTTCAAAAATTTGTTGGTCATACCTGCCAACCTGCTTTGGCCGAGGTAGCCATCATCCCGGCCAAAGAGTTCCAAAAATTTTGTTAGTCATACCTGCCAACTTCTTGCAGCCTAGATCCTCATCTTAGCTTAGGAGAGCTAAATGTTGGTTATTCTTGCCAACCTTCTTCAGCACGGATCCTTATCTCGGCTTGAAGAAGAGCTAAATGCTTGGCCATTCCTACCAAACTTCTTGATTGCCCCCCAGTCGGGCAAAGACTTGTTGGTCAAACCTGCCAACTTCCTGCAGCCTAGATCCTTATCTCGGCTTAGGAGAAGTATTGGTTTTTCCAGCCAACCTCTTCAGCCCAGATCCTAATCCTAGTTGAAGAGAGCTTAAAGTTAGTTATTCCGGCCAACTCTGAGTGAAGTGTTTGGTTTTTTCAGCTAAATGTCCTGCAGCCTGGATCCTTATCCTCGGCTTAGGAGAAGTGTTGGTTTTTCCAGCCAACCTCTAAGTTGGTTATTCCTGCCAACCTAGAGTAAAGTGCTTGGTTATTCCGACCAAACGTCCTGCAGCTTGGATCCTTATCCTGGGCTCAGGAGGGGTGTTGGTTTTTCCAGCCAACCTCTAAGTTGGTTATTCCTGCCAACCCAGAGTAAAGTGTTTGGTTATTCCGACCAAACGTCCTGCAGCCTGGATCCTTATCCTGGGCTTAGGAGGGGTGTTGGTTTTTCCGGTCCCCGTGCCTTGCACATATTGTCTGCTTTGGCATTCCGACTGCACGGTTTTATTTCTTCTCTACTGGGGGAAAAGGCCTATGCAAGGTAAGAGGAGCCAGCCTACTTATAAGATGGGAAAGTAGTCCCTCACAGACCGATGTGGGATTTCCCGCACATTAGCCCCTAGCTGCGTTGGCTCCGGTCACCTCGGAGGGAGTTCCCACAAACGGCGCCAAATAAAGCCACCGGTCCCCGTGCCTTGCACATATTGTTTGCTTTGGCATTCCGACCGCACGGTTTTATTTCTCCCCTACTGGGGGAAAAGGCCTATGCAAGGTAAGAGGAGCCAGCCTGCTTATAAGGTGAGAAAGTAGTCCCTCACAGACCGATGTGGGATTTCCCGCACATTATCTATTTAAAATCTTGAAATGAGTAAATAATATTCTTAGTTTTGCATTATTGTTTGGATGAGTAAAAATGAGAGAAATGCGATAAAATGAAAATAATTTGAAAGAAATTTATTTTTCTTATAATTCTAATTTTGAATCTATTCACAAAATAGATAAATCGGAAGAATATAGGAGCCAATAAATTATTATTTTTTCATAATACTAAAGTTTTCTCTTTAGATATAAAATAAAAGAAAAAAAACTAACACTAATAAAAGACTATTTTGATAAATATTAATAACAAGAAACAATTTATTTTTGGGTGTGTACCATATACTCCAGAGATAGCATTTTTGATATTTTGTTATGACCTATTGTGACATTAGTTATGGTTTGATTATGATTTATGATTCATTCTGATATGGTAATGACATATTATGATTATTATTTTTTATTATGATAAAAATAATTTTTGCTTATACCTTATGTAATGTTTGGTTATATGTCATTATTTTTTAGTTATGATTAAAAAACATTTAAGGGTAAATTACCAATAAATCCTAATAGTTAGACTTAATTCCTATCGAGTCCTATTGAAAATAAGTCATAGGAAAAATGTTGTTAAAAATAATTTTTTGTAACGATTTTTTGCATATGTTACTAAAAATTGACAATCAGTGATTTTTTTTATAGCGATTTTTATAAATTATTACTAAAACTTAAAATTAATGATATTTTCGTTGACAAAATTTTTAAACTGTCCCTAAAAGTTAAAAATTAGTGACTTTTTTTTAAACTGTCGCTAAAACTTATAATTACTGATATTTTTTGTAACAAAATTTTCAACATGTTGCTGAAAATTAATAACTAGTACATTTTTTTAATAGTGTTTGATAAAAAATGTTATTAATTATCATAAAATTTATTGAACAATAAATTCACTTATTAAAACCTATACATGACTCCTCTAAAATTTAATTGTACCATCTGTAATAATCAACACTGCAATACATATGATATACATCTTAAAAGAAAGCAAACATTAAGTATGACGGTAATATTACATGACGGTATTATCATTCAATAAACAATCTTATTTTACAGTAAGAATCGCAACTTGATTGGATTGATGGGAGACATGCTTTATCCACTTAATAATTTTGTGATTTTTTATTAGTGAATAATATCATAAAATGGTACCTAATATGTTTTTCTTAAAAATGATGTATATAATAACATGACCCTACGAATGAAAGGAAAAATAATGAAAAAAAAGGAAGAATGATAGAGATGATTGAGGGAAGCTAATAGGAAAGAGAATAGAAGCAAAAAAAAAAAAAAAAAAAAAAAAAAAAAAAAAAAAAAAAAAAAAAAAAAAAAAAAAAAAAAAAAAAAAAAAAAAAAAAAAAAAAAAAAAAAAAAAAAAGGAAAGGAAAGCACAACCCAGGACAAAGAAATGAAACGACAAAGGAATGGGGGTTGTGGCATGGGCCGCGGATTTGGCCGCCATTTTAAATTAAATTAAATTTATTTTATATTTTTATTTACTTGATAAGTAAGGCAAGGATAAAAATTAAAAAAAAGAAAGAAAGAAAAAAAGATGAATAAAAAATATTAAAAATGTGAAGATAAAAAGAATAAAATAAATATAAAAAATAAATTAAATTTTCATATAAAAATCTCACCACCTATTTAACCACCTATTTAAAATCAAATAAAACATCAATACTTTAAAAATATTTTAATAAATAGAGTACCAATAGCAACTCTCTTTTTATTTTTGAACATAGAAAGTGAGTTTTCCATTTCTATCCTTACAATTATTAGAATTTGTGAATTACATTGGTGAACATTTTGTAAAGTATAGTTTGTGAATTAAAGTATAGTTTGTTTTTCTTATTTTATCCCAATATTCAAACAAAACAAAAAATCATTTGGGTAACGAATGGGGTACTTACGTGTAGGTCTTAATAAATGAATTTATTATTTAATAGGTCTTATAGGAAAATTTTGTCATAAAAAAGCTTATAATTGTAAGTTTTAGCAACAATTTATAAAAATTATGACGAAAAACAGTCATTAATTGTCAATTTTTGGCGACGTATGTAAAAAATTGTCATAAAAAAATTATTTTTAGCGACAATATTATTAAGACTTATTTTTAATAGGATTTAATGAGAATATTATCAAGAAAATATTATCAAAAAAAGTCTCTAATTGTAAATTTTAGCGACAATTTATAAAAATCATGATAAAAAAAGTCACTAATTGTCAATTTTTAATTACGTATGTAAAAAATTATCATAAAAAAATTATTTTTAATGATAATATTATCAAGACTTATTTTTAATAAAATTTAATGAGAATTAAATTAAATTATTAAGATCTATTAATAATTCATCTAACAAAATGTATATAAAATCATGATTATTCTCCC